CCAGCCCCCACCCCCCAGCCCCAGCCACTAATTCTGCCCCACTCCCTCACCATGGAGGTTCAGGGAGAGATAGATAGCACGTTTGAAAGAGCCAGCTGGATACCACGTGAAGAACTGCTGCAGTACAGAAGAAAACCCCCCACAAATCACACACCGCTGGTTATGACGTATCACCCCTCCCTTGAACCTGTACAGAAAATCCTCAAAAAATTGCAACCCATACTAGAAAGAGACCCTATTCTTAAAAAGATCTTCCCAGAGCCACCCATCCTAGCCTTCAAACAAGCACTGAACCTCGCCAACCTCATCACCAGAAGCAAACTTCCTCAACCCCAGAACACACCAAAAGGATTCAGACTGTGCCATGACAAGAAATGCAAAACCTGCCAACACATCTCCACCACCCCCACTATTACTACACCCCACAACAGAGCCATCAGCATCCCTGGATCTTACAGCTGCACCTCCAGAAATGTAATATATTTCATCCAATGCACCAAATGCCCTGATGGAAAATACATAGGAGAGACCAAACAACAACTGCGCACCAGAATGAACGCACACTGGAAATCTATCAAAGACAGAAACACCCAATTACCGGTGGGGGCACATTTCTCACAGGAGGGCCACTCTCTCTCCAATCTCTCAGTCCTGATCCTCAAGGGAAACTTACACAACACTTCCCAGAGACGAGCCTATGAGCTCCATTTCATCAACCTCCTGGATACTAGAGATCATGGACTAAACTTAGACATTGGATTTTTGATACATTATAATCTGCCTGGCAACTGACTCCCCAGCCCAGCCCTGCCCCTGGCTTGTTTACTTTTCATTCCATCCAGGAAGAGCACACACCAACTGCTGAAACTTCGATAGCCTGACGAAGGGTTTTTGAACTCGAAAGCTTGCTTAATAACTATTCTCCAGCTATTTGGGTTGGTCTAATAAAAGATATCAAATTCACCCAAGGAACCTTGTTAGCTTAGTTAAGAATTTTAAAATAATGGATGAAAATTAGATCTTTTACACCCATCAAGTAACTCAGAATTGTGTTTAAGTCTTTCCTTTTTGCAAAAAACTCTTGTTTGGATGATTAAATAATATCTATATTCTTCTCCAGACAAATGACTTGGGAAATGTACTGGGTCAGTTCCTCTCAGTATTTTCCCTATATTTAAAACGAGACATACATTTAAGAACTAAATATGCTAGCATACAAACAGAATAAATAGTGGGATTTGTTTTCAAACTACCCCCTTTTTGAGATTAATAAAGCAGTCTTCTGGTTTAAAAACCCACCTCTCTGCAGTACAAAACTACAAACAACAAGAGACTGTTCTTAGACTGCAGTTCACTCTGAGCTGTGCAGTGGTCATGGACAGGTGGTGTCTGAGTCAATATTTTGACAGAATATATTCTTGTGGGAAGAATGAGGTAGAATCCTTAAATCACTATTTGTGGTATTGTTTGTTCTTTGAAGAAAAAAGAGGAATATGGATCTCTCTCTTACTGTAAAATTTAAAATACAGGGCTAGTGAAGTAAAAACAATTTGCTTCTGTCTAACAATTCGCAGTCTGTTCTATACTCCCTAAGTTTATTTGTATTACTTGCATAAAGAATAAAGCTCAACATCAGAATAGAATTTCCCTGTTTGATTTATTTTTCCACTCCTTCATTTTATCTGGGGTTTTTTTTTATATCATCATATACTGTTTTCTTTTTAAATTTTGTTTCAAATGGTAGAATATGCAATCTTACTGTATACTTTTAGCAAAAGTTATAAATTATAAAAAAAATATATACAGATAAAACATTTATTTGTTTGCATTGTTTTAACAAAAGCTGTAAATAAACTCTTCCTCCTCAAGAGCCATATATCTTGCATTTGTCCCGGAAGAAAGCTTTTTGTCCCAGGGTGCTACAGACATACAAGTTTGTTGGCCCACTTTCTAAAAATGTGAGAGACAAATAGGCTATGATTGACTAATTCAGAAAGACCTAAGTTTTTGCATGTGATAGCGTACTTCATCAGAGACACAGACACACACACTCCTCTGATGAAGTAGGCTGTTGTCTGCAAAAGCTTATTCCTCTTTGAATGATCTAGTCTCTAAGGCTGCTTACAGAACACTGATTTACTTGAAGCTTGATGTGCCCCCACAGGTGCATGTCAAGAAAAGGCACATCACATTAGTTTGCTCTGGCTTGCCTAATGTCTAATGTCAGCTTTAGATAAAAGTGCCAAAAAGCCCTGCTGAAGGACCTGTTCTATACAGATGCCAGGGAGCTGGGTCAAACTCATGTGCATACTTCATCTTGTAAAGTGCTGAGGTTTTTTTTATCCTTATTCATATCTGTCAGCAGCCTAAGGTGCCACCCTGCCCTCCTGCCTTTATGGCTTATTAGGTTATGATAACTCAGGGAAATGTGTTCTGGCTGAGGATTTTATAAAATTGAGGTAAGGGTTTCAGGATGTTTTGCCTGCCTGGTTCTACTAGCTTTTGTACCCTAAGACTAACACAAGGGGTGGAAAAAGGGAGATGACAACAAATAAGTACGAGTAGGTAATTTTCATATTTTAAAATGAAAAAGAAGTGTAGATGTTTGTGTTTGTGGTACATCATGTATGTATCTGTAGTACAGGTATGGTAGAACTCGCATCATTTGTATTAATATGCTTCCCAGCCTACTTAATTGGCAGCAAGTTGCTAAATTAAAAAGCTGATTGCTGCAGCTTTTACTTCAAAGGGTACCACATTTCCACTCAGTTGGAGCTCATCAGTGGTCTTATACAGGTGACCAGAAAAACAGCACCCTATGAAATAAAAGAAGGTTTTCTTCTACAGCAGACAGATGGACTACCATACCAGTTCTTCATAGTTGTTCATTGCAGCTGTATATGTGCCCCCCGCTAATTAGCAAACCCCTTTCTTTACAGTTGATTGAAGGACCTAACTCTGCAAAGTATCCAGGTTCCATTTTACTGACATACTTTCCATTCTAAAGTGATAGAAAAAAAAGGAAGTAAAAGTTTGTGAATATCTTTTGCAGTTTTTAATTTCTTGACTTCAAGGTCCAAGTCATCAGACTTCCAGATTTGAAGATTTCTGTTAACGAATACAATATTAGATCTGAGATTTTGTCTATGGGAATGGGAACTGATAATCCAGAACACATAAAACAACTCCAAAAATTGTGTGAATCTGCTAAAATGTTAGCTCCTGAGAAAAAGACCTTGCAAACTCTGTAAGTGATTGCTTAAGGCTTTTTTTTTTTCTTTTAATATATTATGTTTTGATCTGCAGAGCTTTTTTTTGTTTTGTTTTTTTTAATCAAATAAGTTCAAAATGGCCACCCAATTTAAACTTGGTTTAAAAGTAAGGTCTGGTGCTGACCTTACACTTACAGACCCCCTCCACCAGGTGCAGCCACTTTTACCAGTGTTCGATGCTGCCAGACCAGAGCAAGAAAAATCCTGGTGGGGAAAGGGGTGGGAGGGATGGGATTGGTCATAGGTTTGCTGGGGGAGCACCCCACCTGCAGGTCATGCCTGCCCCCCTGCCCTTTTTTTGCCCATTCCCTGGTGGGCCCCTGATCCCCTCCAGCCTGCTGGACCCCCAAGCTAGGCCCCCGCTCCCCATCCTGATTTACCTGATATCACGCAGCCATTTTGAATAGATTTAACCTACCCTAATACCCCCAAATGTCTGTACTTAGCCTTGGTGAGAAGCACAAGGAGTGGTGTGTACCTGAATCCTCTGGTGGTGTTGGTCAGAAAAGTCACTGAGCTCAAGTGAATAAGAATCACATGCACTCTCAGAGGAATGTGCATGTAAACAAAACCATTTGAACTCCAGTAACCCTAAGGTCTGTAAACTTCCTTTCATGAAAGCTTTAGGTCTCCACCTGTGATTTTCTCATTCCTGAAGTCTTTGATATAGCTCTTCAAATTAGAGTGTTTGGAAATAAAATAACACCAGTTTCTTGAGACTTCCAGAATATTAAAAGCATCTGTTGTATCCCATATATATCAAAATAATATTTAGATAAGGTTTCCAAGATAAACATATGTACTAGCCAATTGTCTGTCAAGAATGATGTGGGAGAAGGGAGCTGGGATGGAGTGCTGCCACCTAACGGCCCATGCTGATGCTGTTCTGCCTCTTGCAAGGACCGGGGAGCAGTCCTTGGCGTGGCTTTAGAATCATGATGGCACTCCCCCACGCTCGGAGCACTCCAATTGGCTGTTTCTGTCAGCCAGTCAGAGGGTGAATAAAGCGTTACGGACAGACGGACTTAGGCTTTTATAATATTAGAATAGTGTTAACTGCTATGATAGGTGAAGGTTTTCTTCTTTATACCCAAAAGTATTAGGGACATGGCCAGTCCGCAGAGGGAGCCAGAACAGGATATGGACAGTGTGCAGAGCCCATTATTAGGAGAAAAATTGTCTGAAAATTGCAATTTCTCCCAAACTATTTTGGATCATCAAAGTGGTAAGTGTTTATATGATTAGTGGGTACGTTTTGAGAATTTGAAAGCAAACTTACACATCTGTAAAGAAGACTAGTTAAATGGAGGTTTAATCTTACAATATATGGCCTTTTACAAATAAAAAGGGCACAGAAAAATTAATGTAAAATATTGGTATAAAGAACTAATGCAACACATGAAGGGTTGTAGAAATTACCTTAATTAGTAGGCACTCCATGAAGAAGATTATTCCTCTAATGCCAGGGACTGATAGGTCTAGGTGTGCTTGCTGGTTGAGGCCTGAAATATCCACCATAAATATCCATTATTGCTAAAAGAAATGAATCTTTAGGCTAAGACTAGATTAATTTTCCTTTTCTATTTATTTTAATAGCATTACAGTATTTCGTATTGTTTTCCACCATTTCACAAGATACCTGCATTTTATTTTCAGGTGACTTAATTTGGTGCGCTAAGAGCTATTTTCCAATTAATCTAGATTTTGAATATCTTGAAAGCTTTGTGGTGTTTTTTTTTCACCATCTTTTGATATGGCAAAATATTATTTATGTACTTTTCATATCAAATATAGACTGCTTTTGATTTATTAATTCATCTATAATCTTGCATGTGAATTGTTAAAACCTTCTCAAAGTAGAAATATCCAATGTATAAGCAAATCATTTTTATGATTTGGATAACAGTGCATTCTTTTTATTTTACTGTTGGGACCAACTTCTGATTTGGGCTTTGTCTTAGATATTTCTGGACTAAACAAAGGCCCCTGGCAGGCATTACAAAATATGATTAACCTGTTAATCATGCCATAAATAGTGACTCTACCACATGTTCAAGGGATTAATGGCACAATAAAATGAGATGTGTAACACTTTTGTGGCTGATTTCCATTGTGCCTTAAATTGAATGTGTGGCAGGATAACCAGAGAAGCTCAAGACTCCAGTGTGGTACTGACAGTCAGCTGATTGCTGGTACCACCCTTGGGACCTCACAGGAGTCCGAAATTGACTCCCGTGCAGTCCCAGGGATAGAAGCAACAATCAGCTGATTCACAGCCCTGGGACCACACCATAGCTTTTAACTGGCCCCAGTGTGGCTTAGGGGCTGGGACCAACAGTCATCTGTCAGTCCTGGCCTTGGGACTGGTTAGGTTCATCCAGGCTACGAGAACCCAGCTTTCAACTTGTAGCCAGGTCTCCCTCTGCGCTGGCACACAGTAGTGATGCCATTGAAATATGATTCCTGGTATCAGAATGTGTCCCCTGCCATGCATGTGTGGCATGACAGGTGGTGTGATTGTTGGGATCAGCGATCAGCTCCTATCATGCCATTAAATGTGTGGGCCAGAGGCTTAATATACTTATGTTGCTTGAAATGTGTTTGGTTTGTTTTTTTTTTTTTTTTTTTAATTTAGGTGCCATAGCTGAAATTGAGGCAGAAAACTCTACACAGCATCATCATAAATGGTACTGGAATTTAATGTAACTTTTTTTTTTTTAAATGAGGTAATGTGCAATCTGTTTTCTGAATTTACTTTGAATGTGCATTTAGTGTTTCTGAAAAAGGATAGATTGACTGTCCTGATTGCTTAATCTTCAGTTGACATATGGGACAGATGGAACATGGTGGTGGTTCTCATTGTTCCATACTGCTAGTACTACTGAAGGAATGACCACTAAGGTAAAAGGGCAATATATTCTCTGTTCCTATTCTGACCTTTATTCATCTGTTTAGGCCATGCTTTTATATGGTCATGCTTATATTTTTAGCATCTCTACTAGGAGATGTTTAGAAAGATGCATTTCAGGTCAGTTAACAATCGTAACATAATATCAATCCTGGTCACACATCGTCTAGGCTGAATTTCAGTCTCCAATCAGGATGTTAGAGCAGTGATTCTCAAAGGATGTGCTGTGGCACACTAGTGATGTGACAGCAACAGCAGTGGGACCCAGCATCCATCTCTGAGAGGTGTAAATGCTCTCCCCCATCTGGCGCACACTGTGCCTGACCTAGCTACTCCAGCTATGCCTATGGCTGCTCCTCTGGGGACTGTAGCTGCTACTGCTGCATTCCCCCACTGTTCCCCACTCCCAGGCAGCCCTGTGCTAGCTCCCTTCCCCCCTGGTGCTCCCAGCAGTGTGCTCTGCTGTGAGCAGGCAGACAGATGCAGAGATGCACTTTGCAGCCCATCTTGTCTCCTCCACTTCTCCCAGTCTTCTGGGGCTGTGGGGGGAGTCGTTGATGTATGGGACCCTGCAGTATTGGGACAAGCAAGATGAGGAGTGGGCAAAATATGGCCTGTGGGCCATATCTGGCTGCCACTGAGGATGGAGGGCTGCGTCCCTCACTGCTCCACTGTAGCCAGGGCCAGGCCAAGCCAGGCCACACAGCATACAGATTCCTCCGCCACCCCCACCCCCTGCCCAGCTTCTTATTAGTGTTGTAGATGCGTGGTCCTGGCACCGCAGTCTCTGGCAGCCAGGCTTACATGGAGTGGGTTGCAATTCAGTATGCTGCAAACTAGCCATCCTGGCTGCCACGATGAGCCACTGACACTGCTAGGAGGGGAATCCAGGTGGGGACATGGCCTGGGGCAGCTGCCCCCAACTTTCCTGATGCAGTGTGTAGTGGCTTATCATGGCAGACAGGCAGGACAGCTACTCAGTGCACTGCAATGTGCCCTGTCATGTGTGGACCTGGCTGCCAGCAGCTGTGCTGCCAGGACTGCACAGTGCCAACAGGAAACTGGGGGCGGGGGGAATGGATACGGGGTGGCAAAAGTAGTCTGCATACTCCACAGCCTGGCCTGGCCCTGGCTGCAGCAGAGTGGAGCAGCACAGGGCTCAGCCCTTCCTCCTCAGGCTCTTGGCAGTGGCCAGTGGGCTACATAGGATCAATTGGCATCTCCTCAGTAGTTCCCCACCCCCACCCTCAACAGCTCATCAAAACTCGGTAAGTGGCCCCTACAGGCCCAAATAATTGCCCACCCCTGAGCTAGATAATGATTCTTAACTTCTTTAGCCTCAAGGCCCCCCTTCGTATCTTTTCTGAATGTAGAACTTTCTTAGTTATTTTTCAGCTGGGGTCTCCCAAAATTCAGAAAATCATGGAGTTATTTTTTAAGTATCTAGTCAGCACTTATATGATTTCCTCTGATCTGGAAATGGAAATATAGGTTCTGGAAAAAAAAAACTTTGGGTGTTAGTGAAGTGTGTTCATAAAGTGTTCCCCATGTATCAGAAATTTGGGAACCACTGGACAAGAAGCTATCCATTTACAAATTATCTGAGCTGCCAGTCTATTCCCTCTACCTCTGTACTGTGTTAAAGAAAAATGAATAGATGAATTTGATTAAAATTATTCTTTTAAATGGTACAGTTGTAAGACTTTTTAGTTTAAATAAGCACAGCAGTTGCAGAACATATAGGGATTAAGGCCTAGGAATAGGCTCTTGATTATAATAGATAAAATCTTGTAATTCCATGTCAGAAGTGGGGGGGATATAGCAATAAGATTTTTATTTAAAAATGGTCATTCTATGGTTTGTTGAGAAGTAGAGATCTCATTCTTGTATCATTGCATGTGCAAAACCTGGCAGTCTTTTTAGCATTTGGATAGTCTAATTCAGGGGTTGTCAACCAGGAGCATATGTACCCCTGGGGATACTTTGAAAAGTCTTAGAGGAGTATGGATGGGCAGGGATGGGGCACTGTCATCCACCACCCTGTGCCACTGCCTCTCTGGAGCAGGGCGAGGGCAGCAGTGTCCCTCTGCGGGCCACACAAGCCCTGGCCGGGCAGACATCAGGCCACCGCCACTGCCATCCACCACCCCACGTTGCTGCCACTGCCCACCACTTTCCCATAGCTGGTCGTACATGCGGCTTTGTGGGTTGCTGACGGGTAGCGTGCAATTGGCCAGGTACGAGTAGAGGGTGGGGGGTGGTGCCACACTTGGGAGGAGGCCCCGGCTGACGCCTGCACTGTTAAGGCCGGTGGCTTCTGCCTTCAGCGTGTGACTGGCCGGGACACCAGGAGGGGAGGAGAAGGGCCTTGTAGCATGGGACCCACCTGGGCTGGGTGTGTGTGGGGCCAGGCCCCACCTCAGGCCACCTTGAAGCTCATTGTCAGGCTGCCAGGGGTACACTTCTTAAAAAAGGTTGAAAACCCCTGGTCTGATTCATCTAAATTTGAAGCTAGTTTGAAGTCTCTTGCGAGGAAATGTTACGGTGCTTGGTGGATAAGTTTGATCAGATGTAGTTTGAACTGTCTGTTTCAGTGTAGACAGAGCAAGACCCTGAGGAGAATCCTAAATCTGTTAGTTTGAACCAGATTTATTTTATGAAATATTGAAGCTTTTGAAGACTCCATGCCACAGTCCATAGCTGGGACCCACAGCTTTCCTGACTGTTGAAAGCCAGTGGTTGTTACTGGCTGTAAAGTTTTCTTTGCTTAATGCAGATTCTTCAGTGACTTGTTTCCTACCAGTTCTGAATCTGTAATTTTGGACAATTGCCTCTCTTCTGTCTGAGCTCTAAGTGCTGTTTTTCATTGTGCATTTAAAAGTATCGGGAAAGTCAAGGAGAAAGGGGGCGTGCAACTTTCAGTACAGGCCACATCGTATTTTACCTTCTTGTTCAACTTTACTCATTCAGTTTAAGGATCTTTTCCAGTGTGTGATGGATAGAGGCATTGATTGCAAGTATCTGATGAGAACCCAGTACTGACATGGTTTGAGTGATGATGAGAGAGTGGCCTGAGGATTTATTTAGTCAAATTCTGAATTTTTTTTATATTTTTAAATTGAAATAAATTAATTTAACTTTTTTTTTTTTTTTTTTTGTATCTTAGTTTCTATCCGGAAATTAAATGGTTTCAAAAGGAAGATACTGTTACCATGAAGATAAAAATAAGAAATGTAACTGACTGTAAATGTGAGTTTTTGAGAAACAAAGTTATTTTCAGGTAGGTTCAAATTTATAATATAATCATCAAAATAATGAAATTTACTAGATAGTATTTTGGTTTAAAAACCAAACTTTTTTTCAAAAAACATAGTGCTTTTTCAGAAGACAAATTTTATTTGGTGGATACGGAGCTGTATGAAAATATACTTACTGAAAAGTCTGTATGTGAGATTAAGAATGAAGAACCTGTGATTATCCTTGCAAAAGAAAAGAAAGAATCATGGCTCAAACTGCTAAAGCACAAGGTGAATTATGAATACCAATTTGGAAAAGTTTTTCCATTTTTCAAGGCTTGAAGATATATTTAAATATTAAACTCACAGTAGTATTTTATTTCTGTTAACAGAATCCTAATGTGTCTTTTGACTTCGAACATTGGGAAGATTTTGGAGATGAAAGCCCCTTTCCTGTTGGTAAGACCTAAACAAATCTTGGAGTAAGCAAACCTGTACTCTTAAGTCATTAATAGAGAGAGGTAGTTAGCCATATTAGTCTGAACACAGGGAGAAGGCAGGGCAGGGTGGTCCCTTAGGGTGTTTTTACACATGCTCGGAGGTTGGATAACTAGAGAACCTCTTGGGGGGGGCTGGTCTGACCAGGATGCATCCCTGTGCGCCAGCTATGGAAGCAGAAATTTGGGGGGGAGGGATACTTGCCGCCTGACATGTCGCCTATGCCCCTTCACACGTTCACCCCAGCCCCCATAGAAAAAATGACCTGGACAGAGCTGCGGAAGCTGCTCTCCACCACGTTGCCTGGCTGCCATGTGCATGTGTGCCCATGCATGTGCATGTGGTGCCCCCTGCCCCCTATGTTCCACTCCCTCAAGCAGCCCCTTGGTTTCCTGGGTTTTTCTTCAGCAAACAGAAAACCTGGATCCCTGGTCATGAGAAATAATGCTGTGTATTTGTGTAAGGGTCCCTTAAGTGCATATTCTAGGTGTATACAGGGCCTGCTTTCAGTCCTGAGGGAAATGTACTTTCATGCAGTATACTGTACTTTCAAATTAACTAGAGGTGCACCAATACATTGACATGGGGGACAGGGGGGATGGCAAATTCTAGGGTGGCTGTAGCCCATCACTGGTCCCAGCAGCAACCTGCCCTCACCCTGTTAAAAGTAACTCAGGAAAAACCTTTAGAATGGTAGAGCACCTTCAGTGACAGAAAAGGAATAACAATAGCCATTGTCATTTTTAGGTGGTTGAGGGTCATGATCTTGAGCATCTGTAACATCTTATGTCAGACTAAGAAAGAGGTTCTTTGATGTACTAATTAGCAAAAAATTAGAAACTGATTGTAGATGGTTTTGAAAATTTGGTAATTCTGAGGAATCATGGTGCACTCGAAAGAATGTTATGAGAGGAGTAACAAACATATCAGTGCTTTTTATAGCAAAAATCATCCAACAGGTTCTCATGTCTTTCATGCCTCATCTTCACAACAGTAGCAGTGGTCATGGACATTTTAATAACATGTATGGTTTATTTGAGCAAGCAGGCATGCAGTCATTCAACTGAACTTTGCTAGAGCATTTATGTTGGGAACTGGTGTATGTATGGTATATGATCTACTTGTCTATTTACTGGTCAGAGAATCAAAATAATCTTGTTGAGTAATTAGCAGATACGCAACACAAGTGCATGTCACTTGAAGGTGTTGGCAGTTGCATAGAATTTTCACATTCTGAGGGTATCTAGCTGTAAACTTGATTTGTATTAGAGCCAGGTCCCTTTGTCTGTGTTCTGTCTGTTCAAGTATAATATTAATTACTATTTCATTTCTGATAACTCATTTCCTTTTCTGTTAAGCACCAAAAATGTTTATTCACACACCTCATTTTCCAAAACCAGATTCGTTTCAGTTCATATAAACTGATGGAAAGGAATTAGGCTGCCTTTAATCTTGAATATCAGGATACTTAACATACCACCAGGCCTATAAGCATTTTCTTGCATTGATTTCCTGTTCTGCTGCAGCATGAGATTTTGTTTTTAAACAGACGTGTCAGTGCATTTTCACTTCTGCAAAATATGTTTTAAATCATAACTTTAGAATTTTTTCATTTTACTGTATAATTTTAGTACACTGGCTTTTATTCGTTGCTTGTAGGTGCTGAAAAAGTACATCATCCTGCTACACTGGCAATGGAAGAAATGGAGGAATCCTCAGGCAGTGAAACAGAAAGTGATGACTAACCTGCAGAATCAATCTTTGTCAGTCCCTTTTCTCTCAGTCCACAATGAGTAGACACCTGCATTTGAGCCACTTTCAAAAGGGCAGCAGCTGTTATGTTTTAATACAGGGGTGGGCCACTTAAGGAGTTTTGGTGAGCTCTTGGGGCGGGGGGTGGGGGGTGCATACTGACCCAGCCGCAGTGCCCTGTCACAGCTGTTCACACTACCCCGTGGGGGGGGGGGGGCCGGGGGGCCCTGAGGAAATGCCAATTTATCCTATCTGCCCCAGGCCTGTCTGCCCTGTACCCACCACTGGGAGTGCCAGATACAGCGGGTGGGCAGGGGCTCCATGGAGACCAACCCAGGACCCCTATGGGCAGGGTACAGTTGGCCAGGCGGATAGGATCAGGTCATAGAGGGGCAGGAAGCAGGACAGGCAGATGGGCGGGGCTGGGATCACAGGGTGGTAACTGTGGAGCTGCAGCCCTGGGCAGAACTGCAATCCATTTCTTGCCATCCCACTTCCAGCCTTGCCCATCCTGCTTCTGGATATAGCTCCCTGGCTGCCCATGGCCCCCATCCCATCCACTTGGCTGTGTGTGCCCTGCCCACAGGGTTCCTTGGCCCATTTCCATGAAGACCTTGGCTGCTCCATTGGGTGTCCCTGGTGATGGGTGTGGGGCAGACAGTCTGCACAGTGGGGCTGGGATCTGGTGGCAGTGGTGGGGCACATGCCTGCTCCTGGGTGGTGAGAGCTGTTTGGAAGCCCTGTCTGGCTGCTGTCGCCTCACAACACCCACCCTGCCCTGCAGACTACGGCTCCCAGTGTGCCAGAGAACCGCATGCAGGGGCAGGGTGGGCTGCATCCAGTGACACCTTTGCGCCCAGGGGCAGCAGGACTGGCCAAACGCACCATGACCTGGGCTGCCCCCTGCACCTGGGCTAGGCAGTGTCAATAGACCCACCATGCCATATTTTGCTCACCCCTCTTCTAACAGTTGAATGTGGAAAACCATGGGAAGGATACAAATGTAGCAGAACCACTCCAACTTAACCCTGAATGAAGCAGTGTTACAGCTGAAGTGGCTTTGCTTTCATACTTTGTATTGTTACTTTGTGGATAAGTTAGAAACAATTGCATAGGAACAGCTGCAGACCTTTTGAAATGGATCCAACATTTACATGTGTCTATATCCAATGCTGATTAAGGATGGTCTTGCAGTCTTTATCTGCATAAGAATTTTACTGATTTAGGTAGAACTATTTGCATATAATTAAGGGCTACAGAATCAAGTCCTTAATTTTTACAAGGATGGCAGTGAACCAGACACTTCATTGTATTTAAATATGTTGGCTAATTTTGACTACCTGGATTTGAACAAATAAAATGCCATAGAAGAAGAGTGGCTATATTCCTTTTGATATATGTATATTTTTTCTTAATTTACTTTAAAAGAGGGGTGTCAAATACATGGCCTGTGGGCTGAATCTGGCCCATGGCACCATTTCTTTCAGCTCTATAGATTATCAGCAGGACACTAGAAGCAGAAGGCATGCAGTTACGGGGCCAGCAGAGCCCATGGCTGCCACCAGACAGTGGCAGACATAACAGAAGACGTAGCAGTAGCTCCAACTACTACTGCTGGAGCACATGCTGTGTGCTTCAGCACAAGGCATGTAATTGCAGCAGTTTTGGCTTTGACGTGGGACATGTGGCAGGCAGGAGCTAGAGCCAGTCTCTCATGCTTTGCTGCTGTTGTCAACGCATGCACTGCTGCCCCTGCTATCAGTACCTACTTTGATGTTGCTGCCACTGGTTCCTTGTGCTGGCCCAGGTTGGATCTAGTCCTAGGCATAAGGTGAGTTTGACATCCGTGCTTTTAAAATAACTGTATATTTTTGTTAATCTACAATAAGCTTAGGTTATCTGATAACCTGAATAAAAGTTTAATTTGAAGGGGGGATGTAATTGCTTAGTCTCCAAGTATAAACATACTCCTATCACCTCTAGATCAGTGATTCATATTTCTCTTGGCTCCTTCTCTTCTCCCCCCACCCTTCTAGGAGACAGCTTTTCACTGGTTCTTTTCTGGCTTTTTGAACATAGTTAGTTCCCTGCGCTTTTTTATGGGGAACTGGCTATTTCATGGAAGACTGCCAATTGCATGATTTGTGTGAAATCCTTGAAATTGTGTATTTGGTAGGTTCCTAGACATTGAGTAATATCAAATGTACTTGAAACTAGAAGGGAGTGTTAGCTGGGCAGTGTTTTGTTATCTAGACAGAATGAAATTATCCGGTTGGAATTATTCCTGAAAAATTCTGCTACTCAAGAGCCAAGAGGTTTGTGCTATTAATACATTTATTTTAGTACACAAATAGCCTACTTTATGGGGTAAAGTGTAGTAAAATATAGACTGATTACAAGCTTTCTTACTTGTTTATCCCTGCTATGGGGACAGGCTAGAACAGTGTTAGCACCGCACCACTGCTAAAGGGCCGGGCTGGAGCAATGCTCTGTGCCCTGGGCTGCAGCAGGGATAGAGCCGACTCAGTCAGAGCAAAAGTAAGGAGGTGTGGGGGGAGAGAGGAGGAAAGGGGGTGGGGACCTGAGGCTGCAGGTAGTAGCATGGAGAGGAGAGGAGGAGAAATGGGAGGGGGGAATCGGGTCAGCCTGAGGCTGCAAGGAGGGGTAGGCAACAAGGAAAAAGCTGCCTGCCTCTTCCCGCCTCCCCCCTACCATCTGACCCCCACTGCCTGCCTCATTTCTGCACCCCCCGCCTTCCCCCACAGGCCCCTGCTACTGCCTCTCCCCCATTGTACCCTACTGCCTGCCCCATTACTGCTGTCCTCATCACCTCCCCAACACCACCTGCAGTAGTGGGAGGCACATATTTAGATGATGATCCCCTCCAAACATGAATTCTATACATGGAAAACTAGAATTTACAACTTTATAATAAATTATAATGATTTATAAAAATTTATAAATCTGTAGAATCTAATTATTGGGGGGAGGGGGTTTTCTTATGTTAAAGGCCATCTTGTATTCGAGTAAATACAGTATTTTGTTTTCCATTTCCAGTTATGATCCCGCACAGAGTTTCATATTACTATAAGATGAATGTTTAAGCAAAGTACTGGAATCAGTAGTACTTGCATTTTTACATGCAGTTGAATCAAAATGTTGTTTATTTCTCTTTGTTCATTTATTATTTTCTTTATTCAGTTCTTGTTTACTATCTATTCCAAGAAGCTGTTTAACAATAAATGTATTATTTGAACCCAGATGCTGTGTGCAGACCATTGGGCTGGAGGGCCACATAAGGAGTTTGGTACGCTCTTGAGGGCCAGAAGGCCGGGGGGGCGGTGCTGACCTGGCCTTGGTCCCCCTGTCACAGCTGTGTTACATTGCTCAGCAGGGGCTGAGGGGAGATGCCAATTTATTTTCTGGCCCCAGGCCTGCCTGCCCCACACTCACCACCAGGAGTGCCAGATGAAGCAGGTAGGCGGTATCTCCATGAAGACTGGCCTGGGACCCCCATGGGCAGGGTCTGCTTGGCCAGGCAGATGGGATAGGGCTGCAGGCTAGCAGGGAGCAGCATCTGGGAGGTCATGGGGCTGGGGCCTGGGGCAGAGTTGCAATCTGCACCCTGCACATGAATGAGTCATGCCCCTGGCGGGTGGTGGGGCACAGCGGCAGCCCGGCGGTGGTAAGCAGGGGAGCTCCCACAGATGCTGTCAGCACTGTCAATGCCCGGGAGAGGGGTGGCGAGTGCCAACCAAGGGTCAGTGACCACCTGCATCTGCTACCAGCAGCATCGGTGGCGGCCAGCAGGGATTGTTGACTGCCCACAGACTCAGTGGCGGGGTGGTGAGCAGCGACTGTCCGCAGGCGCTGCCAACACTCTCCTTTTTGTAGAGAGCCACACTCGGAGAGTGCGTGTGCACCCCCTACACATTGTCCCTGACCCTGCACATCCCTGCGATGGTCCTTGGCCTTGCGCTGCCACTGCCTTATGATCCTGGCCCTGTCCTGCAGCCCCATTCCATTTGCCCAGCCAAATATGCCCTGCCTGTAGGGGTATGTGACGGGGCCGTCCCCAGCCAAGCTCAACATCAGCCCACCCGCCTGTCTAGGGTAGTCTGCCTTGTCTCCTGCCACACCTTTGCTGTTACATAAAGTTTCATGTTCATCTAAGTGGGATTCTGCCCCTTCTAAACCCTGATGCCAAGGGCAAAATACATGGCTCCAACCTCCCATTTACCATGTGTGATGTCTCGCAAATAGCATCCAGATCCACTATTACTCCCCAGCCCCTTTCGGGGACAACCTCGGTCTCTGGCCCAACTTCAGCCTTGGGCACCACTCTGTGCGCCTTGGCCCCTCCTGCACCTATGCTTCTGTTGCTTAGGACCTACTCTGTGCAGTCCTTCAGGCCACTCTACTCCGCTTGAGTCCTACTCTACACAGCCCTTCAGACCATCTCTGCTCACCATGTTCACTGCCCCATCTTTGGGCCATATGCTTACTCTGGGCCTTTTCCCCCTTGGGCCTCAGGTGCTACTCAGTGGGCCTGGTCCTTGTTCCAGGCCCCACTCCATGGGCCTGGGCCCTATGCTTTACTGTAGGAGTGTGCTACCCTAGCCTTTCTCCTCCATGGAGTACCCACAAGGCAGCAGGGGCTGGGGTGTCTGGGCAGCAAGGCCAGTGTCCGGCAGCTGTGGTGGTGGTAGGACATGTGCCTGCTTCTGGTCAGTAGAGCTGGGAGCTGCCAGGAAGCTGTATCTGGCAGCTGTACCACCCCCACTGCCTGACCCTTTAGATTACAGCTCCCAGCAGGCCCAAGAGCTGCATGCAGAGACAGGGTGGGCTGCACCAAGTGGCACCTCCATTCTCTGGGGATGACAGGACCAGCTGCATGCTGCCCCCCGTTCCTGGGCCAGGCGGGGCAGAGGGACCCATCGAGGGTCAGATAAAATCATGGTGTGGGCCGGGTCTGACCCATGGGCCATATTTTGCCTACTCTTCTTCTAACAGTTATATGTGGAAAACATCTTACGAATGTAGCAGAATTACTCCAACTTTAACCCAGAATGAAGCTGTCTTCGTTTATGTGGCTTTGCTACATTCATGTTGTTATTTGTGGCTAAGCCAAGAACAGTTAGATGGTGTTGGCTGCCAGCCTTTTGAAATAGCTCCACGTTTATGTTCGTCCACATCCAGTGATGATTAAGGATGGTCTTGCAGTCGTAAGAATTCTACTAAAATTGGTGGAACTATGATTAAGGACTGCATATGATTAAGGACTGCAGGATTGAGTCCTTAATTTTTTTTACAAGGATGGCAGTGATGTGTAGTCTAGTAGAGCATTCATCTCTGTGAAGTTTGTGGCTAGACGGTTTAATTTGGCCAGTCCTGATCCATAAAATGGATAGTTAAGTACTATAACTATTATACAAATAGTTGTAAACCTCTGCTTAAAATATGTACATGCTCTAACTAGCTTAATGTCTTTCAGACTACACAAGGGAATATGACAGTGAAGAATGATATGACCAATCCACCGTCTCCCAAAGCTTATGTATTCTATCTATATTAGTGTGACACGGGGTGTGTGCCTAGAAACTTGTTCTCTTGGTAGTTTGTTTGCAACAAATGTGGCATGTTTTACTGCAGCAATGTCTAGTACGGTCTTGAGATGACATAGACATGCTCTTAGAAGCAAGGTACATGTTCGTTGTTCAATTTCAAACTATTTATTTATTCATAAAATGGAAGAAAGAGTTGTTAACAGAATGTAAATGTAATGATTAGCATGGGACAAGATTCATTATAAGCCGTAAAGAAAAGCGAATGTTTAAATACTGTAGTTTTCCGTTAAACTGTGATGAAATAACCATTTGTGTTCCTTCTTTAGTCTGCTTTGTCTTAGGAAGAAAGAAATCTGTATCTATAGCAAATCTCCAGAGATGTTGCCAAGTAAGCAATGCTGTTTTTGGAAGGCTAAACAAAGTAGGATAGTAATTTAGTTTCAACATGAAATGTAATTTAGCTTACAAAGAGGGCAATTTGGAGTTTCTTGCTAGTCACCTGGATTTAAGGTATTTGATGAGAAATGTTACTTTCGTAGAACCCTCATAAAAGATGGTTAGTTACTCTGGAACAGGAGTGCAAACTAGAAAAACATATCTTTTGATGTTGATGCATGCTGATTTCTGTTTATAAGCATTTAGGAGGAAGAAATCAGTGCCTCTCACTAAAAGGCCAGTGTGTGAGGAAAGACTTATTTTCAGCTTTCCAAGATGTTATTTTTTTGAGGCCATTCCTACCCAGAGAGCACTTTAACAGTGTAAGATGCTGGCAAAGTGCTTTTACTATAGAGACGACTATATAAACAAATTGGTGCTGCTACAGCTATATCTACATCTAGGGGCTTCATCATAGTTTAGCTTAATACAACTATGACAGCTGTATAGACATAAATCTTAAAATAGATGTGTACTTTTAAGAGATGTATATCTTGCTTTGAGATTTTTTGTCTTGAAGTACCAATAAAATATTAAAATATCTTCATAAAAATCTGTTTTCATTTAAATTGACATTTTTTTTTTTTTAGAGTACATTTTACAGTATTTTATCCTTATAAGACCATCCCCGGTCTGAACAGCTCACAGGTTCAAATAAGGAGCTCTGTTATTTTACTTAGATTCTTAGGCTCCAAAGACTTTCCTTAAGCTCCTGATTCTTTTCTTTTAGTCTCCTCTTCTGTGGGTGTGAGCAAGAGGGTAAAATATGACTAGCAACTCAGATTTTTTCTCCAATGTTGAGAAAACTATGAAAGGTTGATTTGATAATCTTTGTATATTAATTTGTGTTTTATGTAAAAATTAAAAATTAAAAATTTGCATATTTGAGTTGAGGCCAAGTGTTTGCTGAGGATGACCGGAGATTTTGTGGGCTATAGGTGGTGGAAAATTGGGGATCTGAGTAATAAGAGATTAATGCCAAGGGCATTGAAGAATTTAGCTGCCTCCTTACTGTCTTTTTTTCAAGGTGTGTATGTGGGAGTTTCCCATATTAATATTAGCATATCATGTTTTCATAGTTAAGTTCTTAATATATGTCAGTATGAAGACTTCTTGATGTTTTCTCTGTCTCTAAATACTGCTTCTTATTGTGACCCCAACCTATGGCCCACATTCTACTTTTACAAGTTTATATAGATATCTATAAAGATATGTGTATCTCTAGATATTTAGAGAGCTACCTAGAGATGCGCATATCTCTACAGATAGCTATATGAACATGTAAAAGTAGAATGTGGGCCATTTTTCCTGGTCTGTTCAGCAGTAGCTTATTTCAGCTGTTGGAGGGGCTCCCTTAGCCCTCAGTTTCTGAGGGGAAAAACAAGCTTTCTGCTCTTAAATAGCCAGTTACTTGGCTTTCCTGAGCTGTTAACTTTAAAGCCGAGTCTTATATCCAAAGAAATTAAATTTACATCTAGATATATTCCTTTTGCATTGCTGCTTTTGTAGCACTTGCTCAAGGGAGTGGTTCACAACCATGCAGAATACTAAATTCCTCAGTTACCGCTCCTGATTCTAATGGACCATGGGATTAGGAAGGCTTTCTTCTGGCTGGGGCCCTCGGCAGCAAGCTTGGCTTGCTGTCGCTGCCCTTTCACTGTTACTGCTCACCTGGACCTGTCATTGCTTCTGTTGTCATAGCAGCCATCCCTATGCCCCAAACTGGATTCAGTGCGTCTTTCAATGCTGTCCAGATCCAGCCGAGGGCCCCAGACAAGTCTAGCACCCCCTGTATAGGTCTTTGCTTTTTGGGCCTAGAATCTAAATTTGTTACCACATTGGAGTTCCTTCTCTAAAAGGACCTGATGGGAAGGATAATAGCTCTAAATGGGAACTTCCATGGGTCCCTCAGAGTTTCCACAGCTTTCCCTTCCTATTTTCTTGGCTCTATATTAACTCTGCTGGTTGTGATCACCTCAAGTAATCATATGGCAGGGTCAGTTTATTTGTGTAACCCTCTCTTTCAGTCTTAAACCTTTTTTTTCATTTGCCTCCAAAGATCCTTCTGAAGGTGCTCCTGGATTTCAACATAAATGGTTCTCCTCACCTTCTAAATTCAAGCAGATGAAGCTTCGGTATGCATAGGTAAAGAGAACAATTAAGCTTTAGTTGCGTAGGACTCTTCATTTCCAAAATACTAAGCTTGTTGACATGTTTTGAAGAAAAGTTATTTGCAGTTGTCTGCAAATGTATGCAGATCTGATTTAGTAGGCATTATATCTTCCTATTGTAAAAGAAAGGAAATTCTGAAAGGGAGTTATCTTTTTCTTGGGCAGGAAAGTCAGAGCCACTCAATTTGAGTATCTACAAGGCTGCCACATAACCGTCCTCTTGTATCATTATTAGCAACTACCAAATGGGACTGTGGAGGCAACCATAGATGTAGATTACTCCAAATTACATCTCTGGAAAACCCACCTGCAGAGAATATTTCTGCTATGTCTGCTCACCACTCTTGGCTTCTGGTAGATTGAAAGGAAGGGGCATGTTCAACAAATGGACCTACTCACTGGTAAGTTTTCTTCCCCTCTTCCATCAAGAAGTCCTTATCCCTTGTACCCTTACCTAGTTTCTTCTTTTTTTATTTGGGAAGTTCCTGTTTTGTGACGTACCTGGGAAGTTGAAGACTAAATCAGCACATACACACTCGCATTCTCGCACCTCTGTGTGTTTTGGTGGCTGATGGTATAAATATTAGCCATTATCCTTCCAGCAGGATAACAAGAGACCAGATTCTGAGATGTTCCTTTTACAAGTAAATTTTCCTTGATTCAGTTTCTACAGTTGAAGCTTCCTGTTCATTGAGTGAGTAGCTTTAACAAATGCAAAACTTAGATTACCATAATGGCAGCATAGACTAGCAGTAGGAACAATGTAAACATTTAGGTTGATCTCCAGGTCAAAAAATCTTTATTCTCAAATGTCTTCTAAGATACTGTAAATATAGTTTATAAATTATAACAGTTGTAAAAATAAAGCTGCATATCACAATGAAAGTCTAAATTCAGCAAATATGAACATTGTATGTCAAACTATAGTGCTTAGAAAAGGATTAAGAGAAATCCAGTCTGCTTTATTCCGTAACTTCCTCGGCTGGTACAACTTCCAGAAGCATCTGAAGGTACATGGTGGTGGGCTCTGAAAATAAGAAGTTATTGAATTAGAGAAGTTTATTTTTAAGTTTAGTTTTGTTCTTAGCAATGTTTATTTTTTTTAATTCAAATTTACATTGTTTTTCTAATTCATTGGAATGTTAGATATTTAAGCAATTTTTGTTTCCTTCCTATAGAGGGGGAGCTATATTTTGCCTATGGCCAAAGTAAATTTGGGATCTGATCAGAAATTTTGGGTTTCCAGCTTTGTGTGCTCTATGTTAGACCACGCTAGCTCTCATCATCTGGTATGAAATAATAATTTTAGTTTTCTAGTCCTGTGGTTCTCAGCCTTTCAGCCTTGAGGAGCATTTGAATGATGCTGGGTCAGTCTCCGTGTTCTGGATTCATCCCTACTTTCCATATCCAGCTGTGGAGTGACCTCATGTCCTATCCTCACCCTGTGCCAGCACAGTCTGGTGTGCAGGGCCATGTCATCTGACCTGCAGTGTTCCCCACAGGTCCAGAAATTTGGCAGCAGGGAAGCAGAAATTAACATTGCCATTGCTTTCCCTCTGCCAACTTCTGGACCCATGGGCTGGCTGATGGCTGTGGGGGCTGAGGGTTGAGTACTGCTGTTCCAGACAAAATGTTTTTATGCGTACCATAAAATGGTTTATATTCCCTTATCCAGTCCAGCTTTACCTTTCTTCAGTGTCTCAGTGTGTTCTCTGTTTTCCCCAGGAAGCAAACAATTATTTTTCAAGATAACTCCCAGATATTTTTTAACAGTCCTGAAAGGGGAATACTATAGTACAATCACTTCCCCCTTTGGCTGTTTACATTTCCAGGTGGTATGGCCTTTTTTTTCTAATTTTGTATGTCCTGAATCCTCGAAGACTACCTGTAAGTGCCAGATTGAAAATGGCTATGTAAGTTTAACGCCCCATCTACACATTACACTTAAGATGTGATTATCGGTTAGTTATATCTTAAGTGGTCACCAAGTCACGTGTTCAATCAGTTGTGTGATAAAAAGAAATAAGCTACAAAATTATTCCACTGTGGTTCCTTCCATTAATTGAACATGTGACTGGGAGCTCTCTCAGCTGATTAGAGGTCCCAGCCAGTTTTTGGGGTGCATGTCCACCCCCAAGCCTGTAAGCCCCCAACTGCAGGAACACATGCTCCAGTGACTGGGGGACCTATAAGCTGACAGGGCCCCCAGCCACTGGGGTACTCCAGGCACCCTTCCAGCTGGGATACTACAGCTGACATGGGCCTAGGATGCCACTGTGGCTGGTCAGCTGTGGTCTCCCAGTTGTGGGGGTGTCTAGGGTGTTCCCATGACTAGAAGCCCACGTCAGCTGCATCCTGGTACCTCTGCTGCTGGAATCCTGCATCAGCTGCAGTCTCCCAGCTGTGGGTGTGCATGGAGAGCTCCTGAAGCTTGGACAGTGCATCAGCTGCAGTTTTGTCAGCTGAGGGGGCTCCCAGCCACAAGAGTTTGCTACTTGCTGGTGCAGCGGGAGCCTGGGATCATTAACTGGCCTGGGATCATTATGATCCCACAATCCTGCCTCTCCTGCCATACATGTGGCATGCCAGGAGGTGCAATTGGGTGGATCATGCATTGGATCCTATTGTGCCTTTTACCTGCATGTCTAGAGGGACTGTAAAATCACTTCAGTTACTAGCCAGGGTAATTTTCAGCTCATTTCAACTTCTAACATGTATAGACAATCAGTTCAGAATCTCACTTTTTTTTTATAAAATAAATGGATAACACTGTTGCTACAGAAGAGACGTTTCAGATGTTTATTTTTTATAGCATTTGTACTACTATAATGTACAATTAACTGTTAAAAGTTATACTTACTTGATATTCTTTGTGCCCAGTTGAATTTAAAATGAACAAAAAGGAAATAAAATATAAGTCCACCAAACATAAATAATGCACAGTACAGGTATGGCAATTCGGGTTGACTAATGATTGGAGCCAGAACTAGGAAAATTGAGCTCAGTGTCACAAAGACAGGAATGACGATAGGTACCTGTAAGATAAAGAGCACCAAACATTTATAAAGCTCTGTGACTATTCTCTGATACAGCCGATCTTTGTTTTATAACTTATTGAATATTGAAGGATTTTTTTTTTTACCCCCTTTGTGTCTCAGGTTTTTTATAGTATATAAAAAAACCCCCAAAGAATTGAGAGAAGTGACTGAAAAGGGTGTCATCATTGTCAACAGTAAAGGAATTGGTTCGCCTATGTGATACACTAGAGATATCCTAGGTAGATTAATTTATTTCAGTATTAGAATTGTAAAAGAATTGACAAAAATTAAGATGCCTGAACTCCAGTGGAATGAACTAAGTTTCATCCCTAGCTCTTTCTGACCAACGGTGGTCAGTTTTTTTTATTGTAACCTTTTGGCATAAAGTGGAGGTAGAAAGAGGAATAGTGATAGTAAAAAGCATGAAAAGACTATCAGGTTCATTTTTTGTTACGTTTTGAAACATATTCGTGTGTCAGACTTACTGTGATTGGTCTCTTGAGCTCTTTTCTTGTAAACCTCATAACAATGAGTCCCAGCACAGTTAAACCATAAAATATCCAGACAGCAAAACTGAAGTAGTTAATGAGTGTTTCAATGTTTCCAGGGATGGTATAAATAATAGCAATTGCTCCCTAAAAATATAGAGAGAGAATTATTATGGACATAGTGAAAGAGGGTTGATGTAGAAATAAAAAACTGAGTTTCACCTGTATGTAGGACATGTGTATTCAAACTGATTTAGTGTGTAATACAGGTTTTTGTTCCACTTTAGTGAATTGTCAGCATATTTGGTACCTTTTACTGTCCAAACCCACCTGCTGAATTTTGAATTCATGATTAGACCCATTTCAAGTCGGTGAACTATTCATGTCTGAAGCACCTTACTTTATCACATAAAACATGTTCTGGAATATAATATGCACCTTGTTTGAAAGACAGAATGAAGAAAAAAAGACCTTTTCAAGGAAAAAAATTTCAGTGCTACAAATAACTGAGTAGTAGCAGCTATGGAATCAAGTGTGCTCATTGCTCAGGCTCTCTGTGGACCACTGTAGATCTTACTTTCCATTTCACCCAGAGTAGCAGAAACTGCTCTTACTCTGTGTTTTTTATGTATAGTACTCACTCTGGTTTCCAGCAGCTGGTGTTTGGGGGGAAAGATGCATGTTGTATGTGAGAATTTCAGGTGTGTAAGCATGTTTAAGATTTAGGAAGCACTATATCAATCTTCTTTTTGTCATACATTAATTTGCTAAGCAGGAGGAAGTATTTTTATTCATACTACAAACATGCATGCTTTTATTCATAACATTGTCTCAAATTCCAAGTTTAGGGGGCATGGGTATTTGCAGAAAAACTTTTCTAGGATTCTTGTTTTAGAAGAAACACTGAAGTTATTCAGTATGACCTCAAAATGATGTGCCTGCATGCTGCACATCTAAAGGTATGCTGTCAGAACCCTACTTCCTTAAAATTCTGAAGTAGCTGAATTTTTATATTTTAATCCCATGAATGTTTAAGAACTTTTAGTAGTTGGAACAGTGAAATAAGATTAAAATGAAGAGAGCTCTATGCATTATGTAGTTGTTCTAAAGTATGTTTGGTTATTTTATCATGTGTATAGCCAAAGCTACAGAAAAATCATGATTATGTGCACGTGGAAGGATCCTACATATTGAAACTACCATTGGGTCATTTGAAAAGCATGTTTTTCTTTAATTTGTTTTACTTAACCTTTTATTTCTTTGCTGAAAATTAATACTTACATAAAATATGATAGCAGGTGCTGGGGTTAAACGTTTAACACTAATGTAAGACAGCACCTTTAGCATGTGCCCTTCACGGCCTGCCACGTAAACAAGTCTGACAAAAACAAGAACAAGTTAATTTGGTTAGTGTGGCATCTACGCAGGATTTAAAACTAGCTTATTTTTCTGGTGGGTCAGAATACTTAAAATATTTTTTAAAGTTTGATTTGATTACTGAATACATCTCCATATGTAGCTACATCTGAGTAACAGTTGTAGTTTGTCTGAGATGCATCAAGCCTGATTTGCTGCCTAACTAGCTTTAGGGAATGATCACTTGAGATGGTGGGGAGGAGGTATAACTGGTTTTGAAACAAGTGAGTAATGCAGATCAGTGCAGAACTTAGGACTTGTTCAATATTTAGAACTACCAATTTAATTCTTCTCTAAAAAATTATGTAAATCAACACACATTTCATAGTATATGATTTGGAGGATTGTCAGACAGTGTGGGGAATGAGGTTCTCAAGCTTCTCATTTATGTGGGAAAGACGATTAGTTCAGTTTCTTGTACTTTTTTTGTTTAATTCATGGTCATCACAACATTTTAGAACATCTTTATCCTACATAAGCCTATGCATATTTACAGGCATTTGATATACTGTGTGTATTATTATTAAATGTTC